GAAATAAGATACTTTCATGACAAAGAGCACCTTAGAAACTTCATGAATACCAAACCAGCACTCCAAAACCTTTTAGACAAAATCCTAGGAAAAGACACTGCGGATCACAACCCCAGGAAGGCCAGCAGAATGAATCCCCCAGGCATGACAAATTAAAAGCTAAGAGGGAGAATCCAACAAAAAGAAAAAGTCATGACAATGATAACTCAATATGTATCAGTTATAACCATCAATGTTAATGGTCTCACTTCACCAATCAAAAGAAATGGACTGGCAAAATGGGTTAAGAACCAAGATTCAACAGTATGCTGCGTACAAAAAGTACACTTAATTCAAAAAGAAACTCATAGACTGAAAGTTAAAGGGTGGATAACAATACTCCATGTGACAGGAACCTGAAAAAAAGCAGGAGTAGCTAGTCTCTTTGCAGAGCAAGTGGATTTCAAACCCACACTGATTAAGAGAGACGAAGGCCACTACATGCTTGGAACAATCCAAGTGGAAGAGATGACAATCATAAATATCTATGCACCAAACACTAGTGCACCCAACTATATAAAGCGAATATGGACATGAAAAGTCATGTATGCACTAACACAATAGTAGTGGGAGACCTCAATACCCCATTGTCACAAATAGACCAACTAGACAAAAAACAAGAAATGAAATACTAGAACTCAAACTCTTGAACAAATGAACTTAACATGTTTACAGAGTGTTCCACCCCACAAAATCAGAATACACATTCATTTCAGCTGCACATGGGTCGTTCTCCAAAATAGACCACATACTGGCTCATAGGACATATTTAGGTAAGTACAAAGGAATTGAAGTTATCCCCTATATATTATCAGACCATAGTGTGATGAAATTGGAGATCCATAGCAAAAGAAACTGCAAAAATTTCATAAACACATGGAAATTGAACAGCACACTTCTGAATAACCAGTGGGTCACAGAGGAAATTAAGAAATCAGACATTTCCTTCAATTAAATGACAATGACAGTACAACATACCGGAATCTATAAGGCACAATGAAAGTCTTACCAGGGAAATTCATAGTGAATACTCATATTAGGAAAACAGAGCAAGCCCAATTACACGACCTGATGCTGAACCTCAAGCTTCTAGAAAAGGAAGAGCAGGACAAACCCAAAGCCCATAGGAAGGAGGGAATTATAAAGATCAGAAATCAATGCAATGGAGACTAAGAAAACAATATAAAAACTCAATGAAGCCAAGAGTTGGTTCTTTGAAAGAATAAACAAAATTGATAAACCCTTAGCCAACTTTATCAGAAAAAGGAAAGAAAAGGCCAAAATCCATGCAATTAGGAATGAAAAGGATGAAATTACAACAGACCCAGCAGAAATCCAGAAGATCATCAATACCTACTTCGAGAACTTATACGCCAATAAGATGGAAAACACAGAAGAAATGGACAGATTCCTAGATACATATGAATTACCAAAGTTGAACAAAGAAAACCTAAAAATGCTAAACAACCCAATATCAATCAATGAAAATGTAATTAAAAACTTAGCAACTAAGAAAAGCCCAGGTCCTGATGGCTTCACTGCTGAATTCTACAAGACATTTAGGAACTGCTGCCACTACTGTTTAAACTCTTCAATGAAATTGACAGGGAAGCAATACTCCTGAATTCATTCCTGGAAGCAAGCATCACCTTGATCTCCAAAGCAGAGAACCAAAAAAGAACTATAGGCCAATCTCTCTAATGAACATAGATGCAAACATCCTTAAAAAGATACTGGCAAATAGAATGCAGAAGATCATCCAGAAGATCATACACCCTGACCCAGTGGGATTAATCCCAGGGATGCAGGGATGGTTCAACATACTCAAATCAGTCAATGTAATACACTATATCAATAGAACCAAGGACAAAAACCATATGATCATCTCAATAGATGCAGAAAAAGCATTTGACAAAATCCAGCACGCTTTTATGATAAAAACCCTACACAAAATCGGATTAGACGGTCTCTACCTTAATCTGATAAAAGCCATCTATGAAAAACCAACAGCCAATATCATACTAAATGGTCAAAAATTGAAATCCTTCACACTAAAATCAGGAACAAGACAGGATGTCCACTATCACCACTCCTGTTCAATATAGTTTTGGAAACATTAGCCACGGCAATTAGACAAGAGAAAGAAATAAAAGGAATAAAGATAGGAAATGAAGAAGTCAAACTGTCATTTTTTGCAGATGACATGATGCTCTATATAGAAGACTCCAAGAACTCCACCAGCAGTCTTCTAGACTTAATAACCAAATTCAGTAAAGTAGCTGGATACAACGTCAATACACAAAAATCAGTAGCTTTCCTCTACACAAACAGACTCACTGAGAGAGAAATAGGGCAAACAATTCCTTTCGCAATAGCATCCAAAAAACTGAAATACCTAGGAATCCACCTAACAAAAGAAATCAAAGACCTCTTCTCTGAAAACTATAGCACTTTGAAAAGAGAGATTGAAGACGATATCAGAAAATGGAAAGACATCCCTTCCTCCTGGGTAGGAAGGATCAACATAGTGAAAATGGCCATACTTCCAAAACTGCTACATAGATTCAA